TATATATATATATATAATAAAACACATAGCAACTTAAATTTTTATCTCCTACATATTTTTTCCCTAAAAATATCACATCACTCATTTCTATCACATGTTTAATCATTTATATATTTCTCTTCTAAAAACATCACATCACTCATTTTTATCATATGTTCAATTATTTTAATATTTGACATATGTTTAATTATTTAATATTTAATTTATTTGTAGTTAATATAATTTTTATTTAAGACATTATTCATATACGATAATATACACATGTTTAATAAATTTAATATAATGAGATCGATTTTTTAGATGTTCGAATTTTATATTTTATCGTGTTTCAAACATGAGTTATAACCAGTATATATATAGAACAAGATAACACTACACATAGCTGTGATAAAATATGGCATTTATAGTCCAAACTATGACTTCCAGTATGGACAAGTACAAAATTTTCCTACAGTTATTGAAACTTAACCAAGAACTTTCACTGGATGCAAAACAATTCTAGTATATATATATATATATATATATATAACGGGTAGCGGGGGCGGGGCGGGGGTAAGGGTAAGTCCATTCCCGCCTTCATCTCCGTACGGGTTTATACGGGTATCCCCGTATACGTCCACCGTCCAATATGTATAGTCTATCTCCGGTTCAAACGGAACGGATTTGAACGAATACTCATTTTTTTCCGGTCCATTGCCATCTCTAATATGTTCTAACACTAAATAGTTTACATGACCATGAAATCTAGTATTAGTGCAAATAAAACATACATAAAGGTAGTATTATTTGTATAAACAATACAGCACAGTACTATTTGCATAAATAATTTTCCTCCCCTCATCCCAAAAGTTACAAGATTCCGTAATATTATTCTAATGCTGTGATTTTGAATTCTGAATTTGCAGCTACTTATGCCATCAACGAAATATGTCTCGCTAATATCCACCCATTAAGCATAACTTGTCGCGCTCAAGCTGAAGTAGCAACCAAAGTAATACCCTTTGCTCTATTAAGTCCATTCAGTCTGCATTCTGAGATGCTACAAGAAAATAAATGGACCGTCACAAAAGCTAGAGTTGAGGATTGCTTGGAATAAAACTGATGAATTAGAGTGCTTTCAAGCAGCGAGAAAATACAAGCAGGAAAGAGATTTACCTCTTATATCACAAATAATTTAGTAACCCAAATTTTCTGCAATTTCAACCTGCTCCTTGAGAGTGTCATAAAGGATCTCAACAACATTCAGCAGGAATGCATCTGAGCCATGTTTTGCTAGCAAAGACACTGCCACCGGAAGATTATCATACATCCCAAGAGGTATGCTCAACTGTAAATTGAATCAGTTCCACAAGCAGCAAATTACACTAATGAATATAATCGCCTGAGCCCACACCCTCCCCAAAAAGGAAATATCAAATCAATTCTTCTTGCCCAATTAAATGAAAATCATGTGGGGCTGTGTCAGAAAGAGAGAGAGAACCTGGCAAAATCCAGATACTCCAGCAATGGACAACAAGCTAAAAGCTCTGACACAAAAAGTTTCCAGGGTAGAAGCCTCTGTTTGAAGTTTTGGAGGAGGCCCAGGAACTGTAGGGATTGCAAGGATGCCCAGATCCTACAATTGTTCTCCAAA